CTGCCACGGCTATATGGCGAACACCTAGAATAGAGGTCAACACACCATGGCCTGCAAGCCAAATCCAGCCCATGAACATTTTTTTTTGTATGGCTCATTAGCAATGAACGGTTTTACATTTTTAAAAGCTTGAAAAATAATTTTTAAAAGTACTATGAAACACAATTAAATGAAATTCAGATTGCAGTGTCCACTCACCAAGTTTCACTGGGACTCAGCCACACTCATTTGTTGACATTTTGTCGAAGGCCGCTTTCATGGGCTACGATGGCAGTTAAGTAGTTGTGACAGACCGTATGGCCCACAAAGCCTGAACTACTTCCTCTATCTGGTCCCTCACAGAAAGTCTCCCATGCCCTAGCCTAGAAGAGACCACCTCATAATAGACAGCGTTTTTTTTTGTTGAAAATAGAGCCACCATATGCCATTGGCTATACAACTTTAATTCATTCCTTTTGCAACAGCCAATCTCCTTTCCAGACCACTCGCTGAGGACCCCAACCAGGGGAGTGAAATGAGTTATCAGGCTGCCATTTCACTGAGGCACTCCTCCAGAAAAGTTTCTGGGATAAAACATTCTTTCAGGTGCATAAAACTAAAGATGAACCTTTACATTTTGAGTACAGAAGTATGTAATTACTTATGTTTGCCTTGGTTCTGAAAATCCTGAAGACTGTTTTTTTATGTGGTTCTTCCAATAGGCTCCTAACCTCTCCCCCAGCACAGACTAGCACTGGCGGCAGGGCAAACGCAGTGCATCTAGGAAAACCCGTAAAACCAACCTGAGAGATTGCAAATATTTCACAACACTTGGTTAACCCAGACTGTTACCATTTTGGGGAACTTGAACTTAGAATTCATGAAGAGTCCCTACCCACTTCCAATCCAAGATCTCCTTCAGAACTTGGGCACTTCAATGTTTGCTTCTAAAACTGATCAAGGACAAGTCACTCACAGAGAAGCAGGAACAAATTAAAAACATGTACAAATGAAAAGATTTCTTGATTCTCATAGTGAGAAGCTGTAATGATCTCAGGGAAACAGAAGAAACAAATAATTGCTGGCACTCAGGTATCTGAGTGACTAAATCACAAGAATGACTACGGACTTTGTAATCTTATTTATTAACAGAGATGAGAGTATCATTCTCAGGAAGTAGAATTTAGATCAATATGGAGTACAGAGGCTTACTATCTTTTGCAAAGGGATACAATTTCTTAGTGACAAAGTTGAGTTGTGACTTAAAAACTCCTCTAAACTCCGTTATGTTGCCTCTTTTTAAGCCATAGCTGGAACTGATGATTGTGATTTCTTCTGGGTACTTCTCCAGTCTCAGCTCGCACTTCGTTTAGTATACGCTGGATCTACCCTCATACCTTTTATTCACTTTTGATAAAATTCTTATTTTTATTTTTTTAGGTTTACAGAAGAATTGCAAGAAATCAGAGTTCCCATATATCCTGCACCCAGTTTCCCCTTATTAATATTTTCCATTAGTATGGTGCATGTGTCACAATTAATGAATCAATACTGATGTGTTACTACCCACTGAAGTCCATACTTGCTTTGCTCAGGTTTCCTTAGATTTCATGTAGTGTCCTTTTTTGTTTCAGGATCCCTTCCAGGATATCAGATTACATTTGGTCATGTCTTTTAAGGCTCCTCATGGGTGCGACAGTTTCTTACTTTCCCTGCTTTGATGACCTTGATGGTTTTGAGGAGTTTGGTCAGCTATTTAGTAGGATGTCCCTCAGTAGGGATTTATCTGATATTTTGCTCATTTAGACTGGGGTTTTGAATTTTGGAGAGAAAGACCACAAAGTTAAAGTGCCATTTTCATTACATCATATCAAGGGTAAATCCCATTAACAACAGGACTTACGACGTTTGATGCTGACCTTGATCTCCTGGCTACGGTAATGTCAGATTTCTCCACTGTTAAGTTACTCTTTTTTTCTCTCTGTCCATAGGCTTTGAAAGGAAGTCACTATGTACAGTGCATAAAATAGTGGGGAATTATGTTCCATCTCCCTGAGGGTGGAGTAGCTACATAATTTGAAATTTTGCATGGGAAATTATCTTCTTTCCATTTACTTATTTATTCAATCATTTATATCAGTATGGACTCATGGGTATCTTATATTTGGGGTTGTAATGTGTAATTCAGTACTTGTTTACTATGTTGTTCCAACTTTGGTCAGTAGAGCTACTCATGCCATCTTCTTTGTTTCCCTTTGCCTTCTACAGCTGAACTCTTACTTGCTTTTCAGGATTCCGCGGAGATGTTACCCCCTCCAGGGAAAAAATTCCTGGTAACCGCCCCTACTCCCAGTCCTTAATCTCTGGTATATCTAAATTTACATCTATGGTATTTATACACTGTATACATACCTGTCTCTCCCACTGGACAATAGGCTTCAGGGTAGGAATTATGCCTTATTTATTTTGTATGCCTAGCATGTATATAGTACACAGTATCTCGCTTGCACAAAGCAGGAGCTCAACAAATATTTCCAGAATGATCATTATGGTTTTTCTCCTTAGTCCCCAAATCCAGGAGTGCCTAACTTATTAACCAGAAGCCACACAGAAGCTGGTAACTAACTGCTCTAGGGGGAACTACGAGGTGCCACCATTGTGTCAGTCACACAACACAATAGGCTCAGGGTGTAAGTTAACGCTTACATAATTACATTAAGGACAAAGACTCGCTGCCTTTATATTTAGAACCAAAGGCTAGGTAGCTTTTAGTACTGCTGAGCTTAGAGAAGTGGTGTCCCCAAAACAGCCCATACACATTTTGGTCATGAGGTTCCTAAGTGACTTACAGCTGGTTGAGGGTTGTAAAACTTACTGATGAAATAAATTGGCTGAGTTGTACTCTTTGTTGTCACAATTTATGAGAAAATGACTTCAAAAATTAATCAAGACTCTTTCAAGGTATAGGAATTCACTGTTGCAAACTATTAATCTGAAACAGGTTTTTAGGCTGGATCATGCTACCACCCAGGTCCAGGCCACCGTGAACTCCTGACTGATCACCTTCCTAATTGTACTATTGCCCCCATCTATTCACTCACAATAAGCGAAATCATATCATTCCACTTAGCCTTTACTTTAACTGCTTTTATAACAAAATTCAAATTCTCAACCATGCCCTACAAGGGTCCCCTACCTCTTCAAACTCATCCTATCCCCGTCTCTTCCTTGCCTACTAATGGTTCAGCCATGCTCATCTTTCTGGCTTGGTCCCATATACTTTTTGATGTCTAGTAACTCACTCTTTTTATAAGAATTTCAATCTTTAATGTTTTTTATGCATGAGTTGTGTGCCTGAGAACAAAGGCAACTTTGTGTAAGAAACCTTTACAAATCCACTGAAATGAAGATTAGACTGAAACATGAAAAACCCTATTCTTAAGATTTTTAATATTAAAATGTACATTATCTTTATGTTTTATTTTATTGTTATTTTTCCAAGGAATAGTAATAGAATTAGTTTGATGTTGACATACTGCAAAAACTAACCCAAATTTAAAAATGGTTTCTTACTATTTACAAGAAAAACAGTTAAAACACAAATATAAGTAAAGCACTGCCTTTTAAAAATAATAATTCATTCAAAATTGAGTACCTTTGATAACTAAAGGTAACTTATTACATCCTCCCAAACATGTGAAAATTAACATAACCTTACAATGGTGACAGCTTGAAATAAAATATATTAAAAAATCAGACCAAATCAAATACCATAATATAATCTGCTTCTATTTAAAAACATTCGAAGAGGCAACAATTCTCTGCTTCCTACTTTGATGATTTTCTAGACATATCTACCTGAGTGAAGTTCTTTAAGTGAAGGATCTACATCTGAATATTCCTTGTACACCTTTGCAAAAGGTCATTCATTATTCTTGGAAATGAAGGCCAACTAACATTGTCCTGGTTGACGACAGGTGTAACTTTTGAATGACAGTGACCTTTCCTCTCAGAATTGAATCCAAAAGTTTATCAGGTTCTTAACTTCCAGAAGTAAGATATAATTGTCTTAAAGCTGAAAACTAAAGAATTCCACCCAAGTTTCAGGCAAACTCATTTGATAGTAAAAACTGACCTAAACTGACAGAAGACTAATGTTAGCTTTCATTAATCCCATATAATGTGAATTCATACATTTTACTGCAGAAATATTAATGTGTTTGATAATAAGAGTATTGTTCCAGACTGTAGGAGGGTGTTACATAACCTATAGTATATCATTCCTGTACTTATTCACACCAAGCTTCTCCAAGTGTATATTTTTATAAAATGTGTGGAGTATAATTCCATTTGTATCTCTTTCTAAAAAGTGTTCAGACTTTTCAAGTAGTTCAAACAGAAAGTGTCACATTACTTTTGCTTGACCTACTACTCTTAACTAGTAAGTTCTTTCCTTTTACAAATTGAAAAGGGTTTAGAAAATTAGACAGTCTAAGAGATTATATGGCTTGGAAATTTGGGGGATCGGGCTTCAAATTATTTTCCTCCACCTGTTTCACAGCTATACCCAGATGTTTCCATACTGTCTGTGGCTGCCTTCCTGCTACCAGGGCAGGGGTGCGTAGTTGCGTTAGAAACCATACGACCTGCAAAACCTAGAATATTTACTATCTGGCCCTTTATAGAAAAAGTTTGCTGACTTGTGCTCTAAGTTTATGTTCATCCCAGATGGTACTGGTAGATATGACGATCTGATAGCTATGATTTTATAAAATAAGTTGGTTTGCCCGCATTTAGGGCTTATGGTATGTATAGGTGACATTTCAAAGGCAAAGACAGAGATACCTGTCACAGACTACCATTCCCTTTCTGAGAATGTGGTCTCAGTGAGTCAAGATTTTAGGGACTGAGGAGTATAGTACTTGCTGATGATATAAATCTGGTCAGAGAATGAAGAAAATAATTTATAAGTTAAAGTTATTAATCTTCCCTACTGTAAACATCAAATTCACTGAAAGGAATCTGGATACTTTTATATTTACATTGACATGCATAATTCCAAAGAGGTCAGGAAATATGAACCTTAAAAATTATTCACTGGTACATTATTCAATAGTTCATGTGTGTTACTTCTTGAAGATTATCATCTCTTGCCACATTTCACAAAAACTTTCCCAGCTCAACTGTGGCTCAATAAACTTTTATTATTTTTTGTTATTTATTTTTATTCAAAAGAATTTGTTTCCCTATCACAAAAATTAGATAACCACACCACCAACAGCAGCAGAGTCCATAGGGTTACATTGATGGTGGAGAGTCCACTGGGTAGGTATTCCCAATGTCCCAAAGGTCATAAAGGAAGAAAAAAGAAGAAGGAAAAATACTCAAAACAAATCCAAAACCCATGATGACTTTGGGGAGAGACATGACACGACAGTTTCTGTCTTCTCTCATTGTCAGCTGCAGATGTATGTCAGCAGGATCAAGTACAATTTAACTGCGTCAACCCTTCATACCAACTCCAGCACCTAATTGGGTGAAAAAAGGATCAGTTTAATAAAATAGTTTTAAAATATAGAAAAAGGTTAATGAATATTTACTATATTGTAAATGGAGAACCAAATCAAGAAAACTTTTCCTAACTGCTAAAATGTCAAAGGATTTGAAAGAACTACACATTAATCTTTCTCACTTCCAAAAGGATTTGAAAGAACTACACATTAATCTTTCTCACTTCCAATCCAACAGATGTAGGAACTCCATAGTCATCCCCACAGGTAAGCAGGAAGCCTTCAAGGTCAACTACGTAAAACAAATGGATAAATACACTGGGCATAGCATGAATGTAACAAGTTTGGAATATATGTTGGTATCTCCACATTCTGAAGAAAATTTAAGTTGCTGTTTGGGATTTTAGTCTATTTCTTCCACTGACAAACAGTTTATAGTGCTCAAAGACCTAAGGTCTTGCCTTTTCCCAGTTAATCATCTGGTATCACGAAATTTTGTTGCTTATTAAGGTAGTATCTCTTCATACAAGAAAGTTGTGGTATTGCTAAAACTAAAAATAAGGACAAGTAGTGATTAGTTATGAAAAGCGTAAAAGGAGTGGCTAAGAAAGGACATAGAACATGAGGAAAATTACGAGCCACTGTCAAAAGGATTAGGTTAGATGGAGCCGGCTATTCCAGGTGGCAGAGGATTCAAGGAGAAGCTTCTCCCCTCCTGCTGTGCTAAGGCCTGACTCACACCTATGCTTCCATACCGATTTTTGTCTTGACAGTTAGCAAGCAGACTATTTAACACAAGAGGTCAGGGCTGTTGAACAAAATCTTAGATTTGTCACTGAGATTCTGTAATCGTATGAGTAGCTTTGAGCTTCTATAGATACGTTAGCAAGCCCAATAGCCTCGAAGGCCAAACTTACAGAAGAATAAGGTGCAGGTTTTTGAATAAATGGCCTCCCGTAAGAATAAGATAAAGAGACTGAGAGATTACAGAGAGCCACTTAAAACAGAGATTCCAAGACCTTCTACCATCTTGCTTAGGCTTCTAGAACGTAACACTGATCAGTTCAAAAACCTGACTTTCACTGAAGTTGTCCATGGCTCTATAATGAGGCTTTCCAGAGAAACCAGAGCCTGTATAAATTAGTCTGACCAGCTAACAGTGCAGTTCTGCATTGAGCTTGCTCATTTCATCTGCACAGGACAGTGTGTTAGGCTTGGATAGCTACCTTGGTTGCTGGGTCACTCTCCACTCAGGATGAATGGAAAGAAGCCATGGCAAAATTAATGCTAATTGGTGGGGGAAATAGAACATATTATAAAAACAAAATTAAAAAAAGCTTCCTAAAATCTCTGTATCAGCAGAGAATACGTGGATACAACTGGTATCCACAGAATTGCTGATCAAACCAATGGAGTAAAAACCTCCTCCAAAATGGCGCTTTGTTTAAACAATTCACTGCTTAGCTCAGGATCTATTTATCCAATGTATCGTGCCCATGTGCTAAATATCCGGTGGTATAAATAAATACAATTTCTACTTCCTTGAGCTCCTAACTATAAAGAAAAATATGTAGAAAACTGAACTTGTGACTGAGACGCTGTGCCAAGGGACATTCGCATTTTCGGATTACACTAATAATGGCAGGACCACATGGTCAATCAATATTCAGCTGAACACTAAAATACCTTTTCTTCCCTGGGCAACTGAGGAAAAACCTACCTGTCAGGGAAGAGAAGGAAGAGTAAAATAAGAGTAAGGTATTGTAAAGCCTGGTGAATGTCTAAGCATGTCCTCTATACCCTGGGCCTTGTCCACACAACGCCCCGTGGGGCAGCTGCACTGGCCTAACAGAAGCTAAACAGTGCGTGGCCCACAGCGAATGCTTAAGAGGCTTCGTCTGCGGTTCATCTTGAGCACCTATCCATCTATTCAGCATTCCTATGACCTTTAACAAGCACTACCATCTTATCCACAGTTGCAAGCAGCTTATTCTTTCTCCCTTCAATCAAAACTATTTCCAGGCAGAAAGAGACCCATGATTTGGAAAGATTTCTAAGGCTCAGTACAACTCTATTTCCATGTTACAGTAAGAGTCTAAAAATGGAACTGACTTAAAATGGAGACGTAGGAAATGCTTACCTTAATTGTACCCTGACTGTTGGCAGCAATCAGCACATTGGACTCCTAGAAAAGAACAAGAACTTTTAAAGTACAGAGAAGGGTTTTTCTGGAGGGCAGTCCAAGAGAATAATGTCCTCTTCGTCCTTCTTTCTTGACTTCACCCTAAGACACCAACAGAATCTAAAGTGGAGAACCAACTTTAACATGTTTTTAACTATGAATTTTAAACACAAAATCCAATATATTGCAGATTAAGTTTTAATAAAAATAATAAAGTTGGAAACAGAGTAGGAAACTTTTAAACGTAAAGAAAAACAAAAGAGAAATAGATTATTACTAGAAGGAAAGGCAAGAGAAACAAAGACTGAAATAAAACAGAAATCAAAATAATTTGAGAAAAATAAAGTACGTAATCCTTTTCACTGAAAACTTCCCGTTCATTCATTTTTCTTTCATAAAACACCAGTAATTGATATAAACACTGACAACATCTCTGGCATAAATCTCTATGGATAGCTATCTGGTATTAGGAAAACAAAAATGTGAATATTCATCTGGGAGAAGGAAGGCTATCTTCCTTTTTAATAATTCTATCATTCAGTATATGCATTTTTAATAACCTTGGTGATTACTTGAAATAGAATGTATGTGGTAACGTACTTTTGTATACTAAGTTTTAGGGGAGAAAAACCCATTTCTCTGGAAAGTAGGAAAGGTAAGAAAAGGAACAGACAAGACTGAGTTTACCAGAAGGAACTGCTGGTATTAAGTAGGGAGAGCTGGGACCTGCCTTCAGCTGAAAACAAAGAGTCTAACAGGGCTCTGGAGCTTGGAAGTGTGTAGAAGTCTTTTTGCTTTTCTGAGTAGGCAGCTAAAAGGAAGTAAACAGACTCAAAACTGCCAGAGGCCACATGGCTGGTGGAAAGACCAAGCCCAAATAATAGCTATGAGAAACCTCAGTGAAGGATAGGATCTGCCTCAGTATCCTACAGGCTTTGCGACAAAGTGATGAAGAAAGAAAACTTCTGATCTGTATCCCGGGGAAGTTACATAAGCTAATCTGAGTTCAACTTTAGTTACTTTGCTATAAGGAATCTGTGCTCTACAAATTTAAGCATTTCTATTTTTTAGTGTTCTCTTTGATTCCTAGTAACTTGAAAAATGCTCATGTTTTTGCTACTGGTGTAAGAGGAAATAAATAATTTCTTCCACTGTTCCCCCAAATTTCTGGTATTAGAAATATTCCTTGGATGTAGTTGGAGGTGATAACAATGGTCCAAGTTGTATCAAGAACGAATCAAGACATCTTTTTTCTGGAGTGGACCTAGAAACTGCTGATGAGATTTGAGACACACAACCCTGAAATATGGCACCTTGGCATATTGAATATTTTAAGCTTATGGAGTTTGAGAAAACAACAGAAGCAGGAAGGTCACTCTGACCACCCTCTCCCTCCACAACAGGTCATAAAACCCTCATGCGAGAGGTGCCCATCCTCCAAGCAGAGAAAAGGGGCACCCTTTATCTCCAAAGACAAAGAGATGCCAAAAAGAATCCAAACAAACAGGCCTTGCTCAATATCCCCCAGATCACATCAATTACCTCAAGCTCCTTAACCCATCACATTTCTACAACCCACTCTTCCTCAAACCTAGCATAAAGTACACAGGCCTGTTTCTTTGGGTCTTCATTTCCTTATGATGGTTCCCGAGTCATATAAAACGTATAGCGTGAGTTTTAGGTATCCTTAGGGAATATAAATAACTCACTCTGAGTTGGTCAAAAGGCATAAATTCTATGCTTGCTTCAGAAAACAACAAAAACAGGCACTGTGTGGTGTAATATGGATTTCTTTCTAGCAAGAACTTTCAACACACTGTGGGATATCACAACTGCCACCAGAGGACACAGACGTGATTCTTCTGTGAACACCTTCCAGAAATAGCATCGATCAATCTAGCTTCTGTTTGAGGAAAGACTCCAATTTCCAGGAAAGCAACTCCACCATCATTAGATGCTACAGTCACCCTAAATTGCTCCCTTTGCTATGGGAACATACAGTGTCAGGATGATGAAAAATTTATGGCCCAAAGCTCTCTTTCTGCCATTTTAGCTCTAGTCACCTTTTAATACAAAGGAGGAAAGCAAAGAAACCTGGTAGAGATGAGGACTTGCCCTAGCCGTAGAAGGAAGGATCTACTTCTGCCATTTACAGAGATTATGAATTACATAAATCAAACTTCTAATTCCTAGAGGAAGGAAAGATTGGAAAAGTATAGTATATTATCATATAGTGTGAAAGATTACACTCAATAATAGAATCTAGTTAGCTCACCACATAAGAGTTTGAAGTCTGTACAATTATTTACTACACTAAACCCAAGAAGGAAGACATCTGATAACTATTCATGAATAAACGATGGCTTTTGTAACCTCAGGGCTATTATGGCATTAATAGATGATGCCATATTAGATGTTATAGAGGGTTATCTCTAAACTCTTTTTCCTGTGGAGATAGATATTTCATTTGCAAATAAGCAAACACAGGAAATGATTGCCTAGTTGGGTTTGTCTTTTGGGACTAACATATAGGTGACAGAGTGTCCTAAGAATTCTTAGAAACACTCGAAACTATTCAAATTCACCAACAATGAACAAAAAGTAATAGTTTCACATCTCTGTATGCCCCCTCCCTGCAAAGACCATGAACTAGTAAGAAAGGGATTTAGGATTAACCTGTCTTTCAGGTAGCCATGTATTTATTGACTTAAGATAAATTAATTTTTGCATGCAGCAGAAAAATAAAGCCAGGTACATTACTTCAGCATAGAGATATGGGAATGATAAGTACAGTTATTACTGCAGGTTTTGAGTGATTCTTGTGTGCATTGTGAATGACTAGTAATTTCAGCTGTAGCTATAGCCTGCCAGAGCCCTTATGTAAATAAGTTCTGGCTCAATGGGTTGTTTTTTTGCTTGCTAAGTGAAATAAAAATGCCAGCCAGAAATTCTCATTATTTTCTCTTTCTTGGAAACTGGCAGTTTTGCTATAAAGCTCTCAAGCTAATACTACACTTAATATTTTCTTCTTAATATAAAGAAATTAAGAAAAAATAATGGAAAAATTAGCAAGTCTTTTATAAAAATAGAAGACACACACACACACAAACACCAACTTGCTGATAAAGCGAGTGATAATATATAATTTACAATGAAACAAAACAGCATCCATTGGAACAGTTTTCGCTTTGCTAGCTTGCCTATAAAAAGTGCCATCACAGCTAATACATTAAAATCCTAAGCAAGTTGAAAAATAACAATTATTCACTTAGTTTGCAATTGGAGGATTTACTCCTACAGACAGACATAATTGATTTTAAATGTGAATTAATTTTACTGTAGATTTAAATATGTAAAAAAAAACCCCAAACAATTTCCACTTGTGACCATGACAGAGTAAACGGAATGGACTTCCTCTCCTACTATAACCAACTAGAAAACTAAACAAAATATATGACAACACTGGACAACAGTCGGTGCGGGGCTGGTATCCCTATGAGAAGGGGAGCAAATGAGGTGAGCCTTATAATTGCCCTGGTTTTCTGCTTGGAGGCAATTTCTGGACCTTGTAGCAAGGAAGGGGAATCCAAATAGAGCACAGAGGAATCTTAGTAGATCATAGCAGACTCACCAAGTTGAGGAGACAGAGATGTAAGTTCAGGGTGTCTGTAGGTCAGGTGGAATTTGTAGGGCAAAGTACCACAGGTTGTCATATTGTCTCCCTGCCCCCAACTTACATTTTTTTCTGTTAAGACCTAGTCTTTTAACTTGGTATCCAAATGAACTTGTGTTCACAATTAGGACAACATACTACAAGTTGCTTTCAGGGGTGGATATTAAAAATATTTAACAGCAGGCACAGGCACCTGACAAAAAACTAGTACAGCTATACCATTACCTATCTGATTGTTCATCATTTTAGCATATCCTTGGCCATAAAAGTAATTATAGTTCCATCCAATCTTTAAGTATTACAGTATAGACACGGTAAATATCCATCTTATAATGGGATGGAAATTTTATATTGCAAGGATCAAAGCTTGAGCTTTCATGTAACCTCGAATAGCAAAAATGATGTGTAACTGATGGTATTGGTGAGGTGTACAAAATACTCATTTGCCTTTCTATTCAAATAAATCCATCTTTAATTACCATCATCAGCTTTGCTTGTCATATATGAATATCACTTGGTTCCTATATTCACTCATCTGGTTTCAGTGGAAGCCTGCTGTCATCTACAAGATTTATTGAAGTCAGTGAAGTGGATAGTTTTAAGGGGCATATATGATGGTGCAGGAAACGGTGAAGACACACCTATAGTTACATGGAAGAATATGGTAGCAAGTAGACTCACAAAGACAGGGGTAGTAAAAAATGTAAGAACACAAGGAAAAGCATTACATTTCTTGGCCTTGGTTGAGAAATCCTAGAAAGTGTTAAAGAGTGGTGGGCACACCTCTCAAATATATTTGTACACATATGTTGAAATAGGTTCAGTTATAAGGCATTCTATTCTCTTTTGTTCAAGACCTAAATGATATTGATATTTGTATTCATGATTTTTGGCCACAGGTCATTTCAGTGAAGGGTCTTGAATCCAGATTTGAATTTATCATGCAAAAAACAGAGCAAAAATAATATAAGAGAGTAGAAAATTTTAAAATGGTTAATTAAAATGAAGATTAGAGTAGATGAAGGACTTCTGAAGAGCCCTGGAAAATAAGGCTGGTTATTCAATTGTCTTATGCCATCATTGCTCAGCGTGAAAAATATGGGAATTTCAGAACCACAAACAAGGATCCTCACACAATTAGTGTTAAATAAATCCAACTGTAGCTTGTTTATTAGCACACCCTGGTGCTACATGTCACACCTCAGTGCATTCGAAATGCCACTGCAGCTCGCCCCCCTATCCCCCTACTGCACTACCCTCAACTTACAGCAGAACGCACGCCATGAAAAACTAAGATTTCAAATTTAGTAGTAAGAAGTTAATACTTAAT